GGGGGGGGGGGGGCGATTCCTGATAACTCGAACTTCGGATAACTCGAAACGATTTGCCCGGTCCCTAAAAGTTCGAGTTAACGAGTTTTCACTGTACTGCTACAAAGTAGCCAGGTAACAACTAACTCACGACTTAGCTGTCAGAACCTCGAGAGTAACCTCCAACACGTCCTCACGCTACGAACGCTCGACCAAGACAAGCAGTGTCTCCAACCTGTCTTGAAATAGCATCAGGTTAACTCATTTGCATCTATAGCTGTACTGGTACACACAACTCATGTGGAACATTTCAAGCTCTACCACACATTGAAAAATTACAGTATGGGACTAATGAACATCATTGTGCACCTGAGAGTTCTCTGAAGAATTTGAAACCAAATATGCAAGACTGGCCTTAACTAGACGGGGAAAAGTCACTGGATGTGAATGGGTTACTGGACTGGATTTTAACCCTTTCAGTATTCCAGCTGTCCTGGTAGAGTCAGGTGTGAGTGGTCCCTTCTTTCTCTTCATAGACCCCTGCTTTGTGATTACCACATTCTGAAGTACTACTAAGTGGGTGCAATTTTTAACTACTCTTACAAGCAGGTACTGCATGTTTCAAGCCAAAACTAAGCATTGAGCTTGCACACCCCCCAAAAAAAACCCAGCAGAGTGGCATAGTCATGTGCAAAGAACCCTGTACTGAAAGGGTTAAATGACTGGAAGGCAGAAGTAGCATCTAGCATGAAGGATGGAGTCAGAACTTTCCATTGATATGAATTATTATAATTAAACAAAGAAAATTCAAATCTATAATAGTGATGCCTATAAAATTCGTATGATGTAAATATGATTTAAAAATATAGATACTAAAGTAACTCATTTGATTGCTTTTGTTGTGACTGTTTGTCCAGGTCAAGCTAGAAGTGACATGGCATGTCATGGTGGCTATATCCCAGAAATAAGTAATTCCTTGTAAGTTAGTTGTGGCTTTCTGCTCAGTCTGGATGATAAGTTTTGCATACTTGTCTTGGCAACATGCATAACATTTTCAGAATGAAGTGTCAAATTTTAAGATATTGAACTTTTTGAGAAGTACAGGCCTGGGGGGTTCATCTTAGCAATCAAAGGAATGTGGAAAACATGATTATCTGTATTCCTTGCCAAAATCCAGGAATCACAGACACAAAACAGATAATTATAAACCCAAGAAGAGTCCATGAAGAGATTTCAAGGAGGTAGGAAGTCTTTGAGAAGTGTGGTTCTACGCTTCTCAGCCACATCCATTTGGTTCTCCATATCACCACGATCAGTGGTCTCGGCTCTCTCAATCTTCCATGAAAGGTTCTCAATCTCTGCTTCCAGTTGTGCTTGCTGATACTCAAACTAATAGAGAGAAGGAATCTCAATTGCAGCAGCATGGGAAGGATATAGGTGTGTTTTGGGATATGATCAAGACTCACTAGTTGTTTCCTGGCTCCAGGTTCCATATAATAAGCACAGGGATAGGTGTATTGAAGAGTGTATCGACACTTGGCCAACAGAGAGGGGGCATCCAGAAGATATTGCCAATCAATCCAAGTCCCTGAATTACTCATCACTTTCTCCTCAATTTTCTGCTTTATCCTGTCCTTGGTCTGTTCCTCCAGCCGAAGGCTCTTGGCATGGTTCTCCCACTGTAACAAATAAAAATTATGAGCTATGTTTCTCACCAACACACTGAGGAAAACCATCAACTGTCAGGAACTATTGAGAATGACAAATTTCCAAGGAGTGAATTTCTTTGCTCTTCTACAGAGCTAAGTTCCATGCCACCAAAATTGCAATAAAAGTCCCTTAAATAAATTTTTTTTTTCTGCTGTGTGTTTACATTCATGTTTTCAAACATTTACCATTGGCAACACTTGATCAACAGGGAAACCTACACACACAAATCCACTAGTTTTGTGATATCACACATCACAAAACTAGTGGATTTTTGCATGGGAGTCATGAAAACTCACCATTTCTAAATGTTACTTATCTGTGGACAGGGGTCCCATAAATGAAGAACATACACTCAATTCCAAAAAAAGAAGTCCTGCTGAGGAATTGAGATATCTGGATGTGGCCAGAATCATAAATAGATGAGCATATACTCACACGCTCATAGTAGAAGAGATACTTCTTCAAGGCTTCCCTTGCCTTGGCATGAACTGACTCATGGACGACATTTGGATTTTCTTTGTAACGCGAACACTCATAGTATTCAGATCCATGTGTCTTCCAGTCCCCCAAGCACATCCAGCAAAAATCTTGTTTGCAATTGAAACATTGCATATGATTGCACCCTCCATTCTTCTCAATGCAGATGTGACACCGAGGACACTGGGAGTTAATGAAAGAAGGTAGTGGTCAGACATGGAGGTTAATCACACTCTAATTGCTGCAATCAGAGCTACCATCTTGAGCCACACAGTGCAGTTGTTTTATATGTGCATCCTGACTTATGAATGCTTCCTCGATTAACTATGATCAAAGACAGAAAACATCTTTATAAGCAAATGCATGCAATAAGATGAAAAAATCTTTGAAATTTGAGTCTTAGAATTGTTTAACCTTCAAACCTTGGAGGACTCTCATCATACATAATTCATAAGCCTACACAAGCTTCTTTTTATTTTATTTATGTATGTAAAAACAATGATGCGAAAATGTAAAAAAAAACTTGCATCTTTGGTGTGGGCACTGATGTAATTGGCTGTTTCACTGTCATCTGCACACTTGATCAGCCATTTTTTTATAATGTCACAGTGCGCAGGAGCATGGTACTCATTTCCACATTGAAAGCTGAAAATGAGATGGCAAGAAAGAAGTTCTCAACCACCCCTGCATGAAGAGATAGCATGCAAAAAATGAAGGATGAGGAAAACAGACCAAAAGGATGTTTTGCAAAAGGAACAGATGACTCTTTTGGGTCTTTGATATGGTGCCCTGACAATGAGGTTGCAATGGGGCCCAGGGCAAAATCGCAGCTGAGGATGAGATTTTACATAGTCTGTGAAGGAAAACTGCTGGTACTTCTCTCGAATGTCAGAACGTGAGAGAAGGGCAAGGACAAAGTCCTCTGGAGCTACAATGTGACAGTCTTGAGCCATACATTCTATTCCTGGAAACAGAGAAAAACAGAAGAGCAAAAACATTGAGATATGCAGATTTGAAAAAAGAGCAAATGAAAAGCACCACATTGAATGTTAGCAGGGCAACAAAAAATCACCAAAGCCAAATGCCTTTATTTCCTGCAATCACTGCTAGTTCAAATAAAGCTCCTCAGCTTTATTGACAGTTTTGTCATCAGGATAACTCATGGAGTGACACCATCCAGAAATTGTAACAAATGGTATGAATCATGCTGATTATTTTTGGTAGTTGTTCTTTAAAAAAGAAATGCTAAAATAACACCTCCACAATGGAAATTACAACTGATTTAAACATCTCAGTCAGGAGTGCTATTTTCTCTATTTTTAATTTCTCAAACCATTAACCATTCAATATCCTATTCCAATATAACCATTCAATAGCCTATCTGAGTTCCTATTTTGCAGGTCCCACAGGAGTGGGGAGAAGTCATCCATGAATGTAACATATGCATTACCCCAACCCTGAATGATAATTTTTCTCTGGCACTCAAATTCCAAGGGAAGATTAAGGGCTTTTTTGTTCCCATGGTTTGGGGAAGTGAATATGAGGTAGAGATCAGAAACTTTTTTTTTTCATTTTCAGGATTGCACCTTTAAGAGAGGAAAGAAACCACATTATTTTCCCACAGCTTTTGAACTCCATCACTTATCCTTGGAAGCCCAGATTAATCAGGTCAGAATGACCCATATAACAGGAAAATGTACTTGCATAAACAAGAGTTATAAATGAAGGCACTTGAATTAAACTGAGAATTTTCATGTGGCTTCAGGAGGTTTCTTTTGTACTCCTTTTAATAAAAGTGCATCTTTATTACATTAGTAACACAAGGGGTGTTGTGGTTGCAACATCATTCTTGGATGATTGCCGGTTTTCTGAGTGAATCAAGTCACCAGAGTGTCTTCCAGGACCATAAAGTATATAATATTCCGAAGTGGTTTGGGAAATACTGAGATAGAGGTATGTTCTCCTTTAAATTGAAAGTGAACCAAACCTTTTTGAATCATACTGTGGGGTATTCATATTTACAGAAAATTATGATTTAAAATATTTTTGGAGTCAAGAGACTATCAGTGATGGTACTATATCAATATGTTAATGTCTCTCACCAGTGGAAATTCCCTGGAGAACTTGCACTTGAAAATGTAGAGCCCAGCAGTCTTTGCAGAAATGATGACAACATGAGAGAGCTGAGAAGCATTCCTTTGGGTTCCGAATCACACAGACAGGACATGTGAGAAAGCTACTGAGCATGGTACTGGCATCAATGTTACATCGTCCTCCCAAGCCAGGTTTGATCTGACATGCTTCCAGTAGTTTATGTGCATCTTTCCGGTACTCGTGTATCACTTTCTCAACATCCCATTGGCTATGATGAAGTAACAGCTTTCCCAGAGATGGTAATACCTGAAATTGTGCAACAACATGAAAAGAAACATGAAAATATTTACATTATTCATTCATGGTAGGCAAAATCCAAAAAAACAAAAGCGATAATGCTGAACTTAAGGGATGCATTTGAGACACACTAGCTGATAAAAAAAAAAAAGGAATAAAAACATATCATACACAAGAAATACTTACCTGTAACAGATCCATACATAGCAATGCATAACTCTAGACTGAGAATTTCTCACCTGCAGACTCTTGCATAGTGTCTCAACAGATTGGTTCAGGAGCCTCTCTACATCTTCAACCTTCAAACATTCATAGTCAAAATACTCCAGATCCACAGATCGAGAATCGTGTGCATCCAGATCACATTCTCCTCCTTTGTAGTAATCATCATAACCATATTCTTCATCTGAAATCTCCTCTTCTTCTTCACTTGCAGACATGAATAGCACTAATCAATGAAGGTCAATCACAGGAATCTGACCTATATGGTGAAGATAGAAAAGCCTCAAGTAACAGCCTTCTCATGTTCACAGATCATAAGGAACCGAATTTTCATGCTGCAATGCATTCGCCAACTCGCATGGCAAAGGAACGAAACAGAAAAAGGATCGTAAAAAAAATTTTAATGAGATTCAAGGGAACTAGTAGTTTTCATATTTTTATGTGTTGATGCTTCGTTCTTTTTTGTAAAAGAGATTCATAAATACATACAAACATGAAAATCTGGTCCCTACAAATCATACATATGCACAAATGATCAAACATTATCCTATTGCCTTAATTAATTAAGGAAGCAATCACTCAATCATGGAAATGGGAAGAACACTCCCTTATGTCTATGATATATCAGATACAATATCAGGTATTCAAGTAAAAATAACTGAACATGAGATGGATAAGGGCTCAGGAGAATATCTCTAAGTTGATATGATTATATACAATAGCTAATCTAGACCTGTCAATTTTTAAAGCATATCATTAGAAACATTTAGCTTCAGGAGTATTTATTGTACATAAAAAGTTGCTCCAGCTAAGCGTTTATTTGAACCAGGACTGCTCAATTAGTCAAATCCCAAATCCACATGTGGCTGCACACATGCCAGAAGACATCAGTCTAGCATAATAGTGACAACCATTAAACCAATAGGGTGAAAATGGATAGAGGAAGACAAAAAATAAAGGGCAAAAAAATGCCAACAAATGCCCAGGAAACTAGAACAGGCTTCCTCATTGCCAATCAGTTATACTGAAGCAAAACCTAGGACATTCAGGCACTATGCCCTCCTTAACTATATTGCACACAAGTCTCTCACTTTGATTTTTTACACTATGCCAGACTATTAACAAAGTACAGGGTGTCCCAAAAGTCACTGTGCACCTGGCACAAAGAATAATAGACCATGTGCACAATGACTGTGCACATGGTGTATATAATTCAAGTTCCACCTCTGCTTATTGATGGAACTGGGCAAAAATTGATAAATGTTAAATCTCTACAGTGCATGTAGCATGATGGGCACTTTTCAATAGAAGTGATTCAAAAAGTGCCCTCAAAAGTGCATTTAATAAATATCCTTAAATTGAGGTAATCTAGTTATGTTTTGATAAATTTGAACCCCCACTCCACCCCCTCTGACTCAAGGTTATTCAGAACACAGGATCTTTCTTCCCATCATATTTTACCCACAACACTTTAAGTGATAAACCCATAGTGACATGCAAAATCTTGTGCTAACAACACCTACGACCTTGGCCTAATCTGGGCCCACCCCAAATCATTTCTACCAGTTCACAGAGAGGTAAACGACCCAGGTACTATTAATGTTGGGCCAATATTGGTCCAACATCTGGTCATGTTGGTTCCATATTTTGAGTTACTAAGTGTATTTGTCCACGACTAGGAGAGGGATGAAGAAAGGCTCTACCACATCTATAGACGAAGTGAAGTGTAATGCGCTGCTCAAGTACAGTGGTACCTCGCATAACGAACGCAATTCGTTCCAGCGGTGCGTTCGTTATGCGAGGTGTTCGCGAATGAAAGTGAAACATGATTTCCCATAGACGTCTATGGGAAATCGTGTTTCGCATAACGAACACCTCGCATAACGAACGCACCGCTGGAACGAATTGCGTTCGTTATGCGAGGTACCACTGTAGTTGTCAAACGATGAAATACAATAGACGTCATGTCATGGTAGTCAAAATATGTCAATTCGACGAACATCCTGGAGCTTAAATATCCAGGGAAAGCTGGGTCGGACGCGGCCATTTCTAGATGGAGACTTGTGTTTGCTAGTTAAAAACACAAAGCATCCAGACGCTTTAAGACATACAAAGCAGAGATATCTTTTAAAATGCAACTTACTGTCATCTTGGAGTCGGAAAAGAAACAGTAAAATAAAATTGATTTAAAGTAAAGAGGCACCTTCTCAAGAGAGGGAATATCTCATCTAAGGAGGGTTACATACTCTACATCACTGAGAGCATGGCATCTGCCTGTGTCCCATGTTGCGCGATTTATTGGCAAGGGCCTATGTTGAATTGATAAAGGGAATAATCGTTTCACTGCTAAACCTTGATCGAGGCTTTCACATTGGCTGAAGGGCTATAGATGGATGATGAACGGAACAAGAAGGGAAAATGAATGCACGCTCTCAAATCTTTGAATTTGTGAGTACTACTCTCAAGTTCAATAGTCAAATGTAGGTTTAGATCTACTGGCATTTATGAGCATGAGGAGTCAAATGGTTGTTAGATTCAGAATAAGTCGAATCCGTAGGTGCAGGTATCCTCAATGAGTTGAACTCACAAACTTGCTTTCACTCTGGCACCACCATTTAAAATGTGGTTTTAACACATTCGCTGCCGATGACGCACCTCGTAGTTATCCTTTCCATAGAAACGAGCGTCATCGGCAGCGAACGTAAGTAGTACTTGATTAAATTTGCAGCAGATATTGAGTTGGTTTAATATAGTTAGGAGGGGCTTGAGTCTGTTTCATGGAATGTTGAGCTGCTGTAGGTGGTGAAGTCCATTTGCAATGCTTGCAATTGCAGACATCATACTCTACTTGGGTGAAAAAATTTATGATTCAAAAAGAATAGCACCAAACTCATCTGAAACAAAATAAGCTTATTGCTTGACCAGGAACTTGGACCTTTTAATGGTATTAAATCTTTTTGACACAAGTAAGCCTTTATGTGTCAATCTAACTTATTTCTTGGGTTGACATGATTCGTGAAGGAATGAATTGCATCCTGACTTTGTAGGCAGGGGAATTGCGTCAGGCAGAGGAGATCACAGCTGCCCTCTTCCATACACTCCTATTCCACAGATCTTTGGGAAAGTTTCACTACAAGCAAGAAGGAAGCTATTCTGTTGGAACTGTTGGTTTCAAGGATGTTGATTGTGATTTCATCGATGTCACCTATGTGAGATGTGCTATCAGTGCACTTAGTTTTGTGATAGCTCATTGCTTCTACTGTTGTGCCAAAATTTAGAGAAAACATGTAATGTTTTCATTTATAGGTACAGTGTGATTCAGAAGCACTTGACCATGTCCTCAGGAGTCGTATAGTTGCCTTCATTGAATCCCTTCAAGCAGGAGAATGTGGGAGTGGAGAAATATCATTGGAATTCTTTCAGAAAAAACGCCAACGATGGCTCCTCCCCCCTGATTCAATTCCTTGGGAGGTCTGGATGCTCAAGTTTCAGATACTGCATTATGCAAATGAACAAGGTGAGACTTCAAATAGTATCAACACAAAGGAAGCAAATTGATTAGGAATTTACCTGCCATTGCAAGTCCTTGACTTTCAACGTAGGCAAGATAGGTAAAGGTAGATAAATTATGCAGACAGCAGTTATATAGAAGAGGTTGGCCTCTGCCCACATCCCTGCTAACTTTTTGACTCCAGATTTTGCAAAATGATGATTGGGAATGTCAGAAGTCCCAATGAAAGCCAAATCAAAATTTATGAATATTAACACCTACTCCATGTTTGAAGCTACAGGGAGATCATAAAACCAGGAAACCCAAACATTTATAGGCTATGCCCATAATATAAAAATAAACACTTCCAACTTTACACAAGTCAAGGTCCTTTGTAGCAGAGGTAAGATGTTCTAGGCAAATGAGCCTGTAAAAATGCATATAGATTGCATTCAAATGCTTTTCCAAGAGGCCCAAAGGATCTTTTATGGCTGGTTAGCTGTCCTAAAAGATCTAAGAAGTGCTTTCATCCCTCTTACCAGAGATAGAGGAAGAGAGAAGAATTTCTCACATCCTCCAGTTAGTAAACTCCTGTATAGGGTGAGCATACATTTTCTCATTAAAGAGTTGGTGTTTAGGCCCAGCCCAATAGAGGGCTTACATCAGGCCTCATCTTGTGCAAAGTACATGTTACCCAGGCTGACATCTGAAGAGGAGATAAACCTATATGAAGCCCAAAAAAAGTATAGCTATAGTAGGACATATAACAGCATTCAGTGATATGCTTCCTCAATAAAGCAAACATCATATGTCTTGGTTTTACCATTGTGGAAGAAGACTATACATTTTATGAAGGAATTGCAGTTTTCATGGGGCAGAGTGGAAAATTTCCTAAGGAGAGCAATTCAGGCCACCTGACTGCTAGGAAATCCAAACTATTACCACTCTCTATAGATGATGTCAGATTTTGAGAGAAGTCCCTTTTCAAGTGTATTCATGTTGTTTCAAGATAGCAGCCTGCTCACATTTCCCAAAATGGATATGCTGTTTTCATAATGTCAACATTCTTATATTTTTTTAAATTGCTGTTCCATAACTTGAATCCATGCAAGTACATGGAATTTGTTGAGTCAAAACTGAGACTTCTGGCAGGAAGTTTACTTTTGGGCTTGCAGAACGGCAGATGTCAAGGGAGGAACTTGGAGAGTTGGTTGGAGAGAAGGTGCGCCACGTAGCAGCATCTCTTAATCGCCAGGAGTACGTCCCAAAGATGCCCAACCACAGTGAACTGGACCTGATTTTTGACACAAGTTTCCCTGACATCCAACCTTATCTTTTTAAGGTATGTTTCCTGCCATTCACCAGTTTGATTGATTATGTTAGTTTTCTGTTTGCAGGTTTACCTGTCTGGAAGATACTTGCAGGATAGTGCTATTCAATATGTTCATCACTTGTACGATTATAAAGGGAAACCCTACTTTATGGAAGAAAGTTCTCTTACTCATGTGTTGTCAAAAGAAGTATCACTTATGCTAGTATCTTCTTATGAGAACATCTGCAAATGCAAACCCACCCTTAGAGATGGATTACCCATGCCATCAAGTACATATCCAATAAATAATGTGGTAATGAGAGGTAGCTCACATGGACTCAGTTATTGATTGATGTTCAGAGTTCTAGCCAGGCCTTTATAATTTGGTAGCTCACCCAGTTACAATTCTAGAACGTCTGTGCATGTTCACTGCCCTGTTTCTTCAACCAAATTAGCAAAACTCAAGTCATGGCAACAGATATACTGTGTAATTACCAAGAAAATTACAGTTTTTGAAAGGTGGCAGTGGTTCAAATGCAGTAAGTACATGGCATCCCTCTAACCTCTAAATTTACAGGTGCTAAGGTTGGGGCACTCTTCCCTTTTTGACATCCAATAATCATGAATCCTGAAATGAACCATTTTCCCTGCTGGTTAGTAAATCTCAAGAAATGGGTTGTACTAAACAATTTGTCTCAATTTAAATAATAACTTTTTTCTGAGTGATGCTTCATGTATTTTGGGAGATTTCAGACAATTTAAGAGATCCAGTTTCACATGATAAGGCTGAGTAGGAGAGTGGTGAAAGCATATGGGGGAAAGAAAGGGAAATAAAAATGTCTTTCATAAAATGCTGAAAGTGAATGCAGGATAAGTTTTCATAATATCCTGAGAAACATCCCTAATCACAAGGGAAAACATCTTGTACATTCACTGAAATCTGCTATTAAGTTCACTTGTCATGTTGATTTTTTTTGTTGCTAGCATCTGTTAAAATGATAGTGAATGCACTCCAAACAAACCCACCAGTGTACCCATGACCTACCTTCCTTTCCCTTTTTCTTTTGCCTACCCTTCAGTAGACATTTATAGGTTTTTACTCCCATTTTAAATGTTTACTTGCAAGCATGGAAATTTATTGTAACATACCATATTTAAGAATCAGCCCATAGCCATGAAATTTGAGAGGCTCTAAGTTGAACTTTTACCTTCTGTATGATCATAGTTGCTTCTAACATTTTTTTTTTCAAGATTCAAGATAGTGATATCAAGAGATAATTTCACCCATTTCGATATCATGTGTCGAGGTCAAGTGTTCCTTAATTTTAGGGTAGGCCTAACCCTCTTAAAGCTAAATATTTATGTATTTTTGTTTTGTTTTGTTTTTTGGTTTTTGACTATCCTAGTTGCTTACTGTTTAGTACCTAATGTCAACATTGCCCCCCTCCTATTTGCCTGTCCATGAAAGCATCCAGTTTCTTCTTAAAACCTCGAATTTAGGTTTGGAAAAGAGAGAGTGTAGTCTAGAAACAAATTGCCAGAATTTAACGATTTCAGTCCTGGCGGAAGTCAGAAGTTCCTACTTAAAAAAATATTTCTTGAAGGATTATATAGGAATGCACGACTTTAAAGCCTAGCGGGACATATAAATCATTTCTTTTTTGTACTTTTTTGTTTTGAACTTTAGCAGTCTTTGATCATGGATTTTCCTGTTATTATTGGACTTATATGTGTTAAAATTACATAGATATCTAGTTATCATCAAAGTCACATTATTCTTTTGTGAACCCAAATATTGTCAATCAAGGTGTAAACCCTGTGAGGATAAAACTTCTCAAATTTCAATCCCCCTGCGATGTGCGAGCCAAGAAACTGAAAAAGTATTCTCACCTCAGAGAGGCGCAATATTTAGGCACGATTTCACATGCAACATCCTCTACAAGAGTGTTGCAGTGGGATCGAGTTCAGGCAGACATGTGACAACTGTATTTTAAAAAAAGGGTGATATGCATTGCTTATAGCAGCTGCAACTGCATAATTGGTGTGGGAAGACTTTCCTGAAATAGGCATGATTTCAAACGCTCATGAAGTATCAGATAATCTAATATATATATTCACGATCGTGACCGACAGACTGACTGACGCTAATTCTAACCATGTTCCAGATAGGTTAGAAATCTGAAACTTGGTACACATGTACCTTTTGGGGTGAAGAGTTAAGAAAAAAATCCTACACCACTCTGCAAGTAAAGAATTCCTGTCTCGACCTGAGACAAAAGTTAAGTTATGACAAAACTTAAGTTGCGCAAACCGCAGGTTTGTGCAACTTAATTCGGTTATCTCTCGTTCTCTTGCTGCCATCACACTGGAAAAACCTACCACACTCAACATCATCTACTCCTTTATCTTGAAAGCCTAGATGAGATTGCCCCTCCTTAATCTTTGCTTGAGCGAGTGCAGTCCCAACACTTCTAAACGCTTCTCGTATGGTAGTCCCCTGACCTCCTTAATCATTCTTGTGGCTCTCCTCTGTACTCCCTCGAGTGCCAACAAATCGCCCATATTTGTAGGCCTCCAAAACTGGATGCAATATATGTAACAGTGCCTTATTCCCTTGTGCCCATCCCGTGCTGGATAAAAGTGCATTTTATTCATTTTCCAGATTAATCATCAAGAGGGAAAAGCTGCTGTGACTGGAGCTTCAAATGTTGGAAGTGCAATGAAGAAACTGTTTCGTGACACACTCACTTTGTGATAGGAAAGTTCTTTGCTTCACTTCCAAGTTCCCTATTTGTTGCTCTGAATATCTCAATATACTCTACCATCTGCTATTTTTGCATCCCAGAATATCATGCTGAGAAGATTTTATTCTCTAAGTTTTGGGTCTGCATTAATGCTCACATCATACCTTGTGCATGTAAGCATCAAGCATTTTTGCCAATGTGAAGTACAAAATTTCCTAGTGCATGTTTCTAAGCACCTTAATCGTGTACCTCTGCAGGATAATTGTGGTAACCAATTGTAATGAAAACAGTTTTTGTAAGGCATAAACAAGTACTGTACCCAAAGCAGATATGCAACATATTAGCCCAAGCAATGTGTTGAAGAGATGAAAACTCCAAAAAGTGCCAATAAATGCTTCATATTCTAAGCCTCAAAATACAGCTGCCAAATGTTGCCGGAAATAGCCGACAGAAACCTGAGTGATTTTATGACATGTCAAAGGTGGAGGGAAACATTTTTTTTTAAATAGGGAACAGACATCATGATTCTATGAGGACTAGACAGTGAAGGCATCACAGCAACGAGGGTCCTCATTATAAATCTTGAAGTAAGCCAAAAGCAAAGATTAGAAAATAGATGGTGACATTCAACATCAATGAGACATATCATGAGGTTATGTAAAAAATCTGGAAGTCCAATGACGATAGCGAGATGAGAAACAACATTGTACCATGTTGAATGTACCAAGCCAACAGAAGGAAGTCCAAACATCAAGGAGGAAGAGGCAGTCCAAACAACTAAGAACAGATGAAAAGAGACACTCTTAGCAATTAAGAACAGTTATCAAAGATCAATCAAGTATTCAAATGAAAGAAAGCCAGGCTTTCTTCTTAGTGGTTCAGGTAGAAAATACACCAGAAAAGTCTCTTTTTTTGACAATAAAATGACTGAAGAATATCATCTTCATTAATACAAAATTGAGAATATTTTTTTATCTGAAGCATATGATACATACAATTGCAATTCAACAAAGTGGGAAAGAGGATCTATCAGAGATGAAACAGTATTCAAAACTCCTATTTGATACTTCCCTGGATAGCCAATAGCAGTAGGTACCATCAGTATTTGAAGACTGTCTTTTTCTTTTTCAACTAATGTGAAACTATGCTTATAGCAGCAAAAGCTGAAGATCTGCTGAAGCTGAATTGGATAAAGTGAATTATTTTATCGATAAGATCTACTTGCTAGCAGGATTTGGAATACTGAAGAGAGTTTCATAAAGTTGCATCTTTAATTCAAAGGTATTTGAATCTTAGGAAGTAGAATGATTCAGATGAAACTCAATTTAGGTTTCAGATAGCATCATCAAGCCATGACAATCATTAACTCATTTAAATCAGGTTGACTTATATATAGTGATATTTCATTTCAGATCAATTGATGCTGACCAAATTAGTTGTATTTGTCATGTTGGCTTTTTTTTGCTCTAAATTCTCTCAAATGAAGTAGAAGTGGAGTTTGGAAATCCACATGCATACTTCAAAATTGGGATATCCTGGACCTTGAAATTATTGAATGTAGATGTTTCATTCTTTAACCCTTTCATATCCAAATCAAATTCAGCTTGGGAGAGCTGAAATGAATAAAGAGGAGAATACAGCAAAAAAAAAATTGACTGCATAAATGTAAAAATGTGATTTGGGTAAGGGTTATAATCAACCAAAGACATTCCATTGAAATCATAAATAGCATAAAACCAAGCATCCTTGGACTTCAATAGCTTAAAATATTCCCAAGATCATAAATAAACAAATATATCTTCAGCATCTGAAGTAAGATATCTAAGATAGATTTGTTTTACCAGCAGTCCTGCATATGTTATCCAAGTTATTACCTGATTTCTTTTTTGGATAAGAATAGGAGAAGAAACAAGAGACTCTCAGAAGAACCAAAGTTTATCCATACCAAAATGAAATTTTAGAATAATTGGTAGAGAGCTAAGTTATAGCTGACATGAAAATAATAATAAACTAGGGAAAAATAGAATGGGATGCACAGTAAAGTTTTATTTTTTTTCTGCATCAAATCAAGACAGTCTTGCTGTCAAGATTAAATTTATCATGTTCTTCATCTTCAATGCCAATCACAAACACTGGATAATGACAGATTCATAAGAACAGGAATTGGTAGGAAAGCATTTTAAGCTCTCAATAAATCTGAAAAAGTTTAATTTCAATAAGGAAATTGAATTTCTTTAAATCATGATTTCCTCAAACCCTAATGACAAATAAGCCACATGGTCATCATATTTCAGATAAAAAATATATGCCTTTTATATGCTGGCCAAAATATCTTCAGTCATTGCTAAAATAAAAGTCATGGTAAAAAAAAATTGAATATAACCTTTCCCTGAATGAATTTTCAGTCAGAGCAAACCAGCGAGAACAATTTTTTTCCTGGGTGATGATGTGAAGATATCCAGGTATTTCTTTAGGAGGCAATTCATCTTGAGTTCTAGATCACTATTTAGGTTAGGCAGTGAATCCTGCAAGCAAGAATACTGGAGCCTGGAGTTTCCGTAATCAATGGTATTCACAAGAGTGTGTTCTCCTTATCAGAGTTCTTCCTCTACTACTCCTGCCTTCAAAAGACCTGCCAAGATCACAGATAATTGTGCAACAAGATGCTGGAACTCCTGAAGTACAGGATATGGATTAAAAAAAAAGACCCCTGACTTTTGAGCTCACATACCCTGCTCTTATGAAAGATCTTTAACAGAATCTCAACAGAATAGTGAAATTTCATCCAAATTTTTTCTGCTTAATGAAGGTTATAAGTGGTTACTGAAAGAAACTGATACTTGAAATGGGTATGAGCCTGTGCTGTCAAGAGGAGAAAATGCCTCTGACTGTGGTAGCATATCATTGAATGTCTAAAATTTTCAATACTTGCTTCCTCTTGAACCATTAGAATCGCAATATATTCCTTCCTAATGGGATACAATTCTGCTTGGGAGTAACAGGATCAATAATCACTCATGGTCTTACTTTGGCAGAACAATTTGGATAAACTTTCTCATGTTTACTAGGAACATATCAGCCAATACACAAGACATGTGAAGTGAAATATCTCCTGTAAGAGGGGAGATTTTTCGACTCAAAGTCAGAGGTGCATTTTCAAGTCCTTTCCTGCAGTCATCTTCCACTTTTTTTTGCATTGGTGCAACACTGGTGCAGATTTTTTATACCCTCATATCCCACTTGTAGGGGAATAGTGGTGCAGGTCCAATATAGCATGCATAGAATTCAAGGGGAGCATTCAGTGTCTATGGAGGTGGTGTGGGGTCAGCAGTGTCATAGCTGCCTTCTCCCATCCCAATATCAAATTAGATGCAAACCTCTCTCCCATTGAAGTTCCATTTACAGATCGTGGATAATGAGTAAGTCAAATGAAGATGAAATGTAGGCAACAGCTCATGTCATGTCCAGCTGCTATGACAAGGCTGCTGCTAAAATTCTAAAATAAAAAAAATTAGTGTCAAGTTTGCACCCATGCATTCCACTGCTGTGGCACATAGATGCACTCTCTCTACAACATAACACTCCTGTACTAGCAATTATGCTACACCAGTGCAACCAGTGGAATATACCAACAGAAAACATGACAACCTTGAACAGAAATTCAAGGAACAATTCAATGCATATACTTCAAAGTATTATGCAGTTTCCTTAAAACTAGATGTCAATAAATATCATGCCTATTCATCACAAATTAAAACTAAACTGAGAAAAAAGAATAAGAAGCACTGAGGAAAATTTTCTGTACAGAAACTCCTTGTTGTCATTGTGGTACCTATTCCAATCTGAGTAACCACTTGATGACAGACGATCATTAAAGGCATGTCTCATACTGTATGATGGCTTCTCTCTCTTCTTTGGGTCCATCATTCCTTGTCTCTTCTTGAAATTGAATCTCATCTGACTTGCACCACACAAGAATATCGACAAAAAATGCCAAAAGCATCAATAGTGCAGTTGTACCTGAGGAGGGGAGAAAATCCATATGGTTTATGTTCAATGATTTGTTGACCAGGAAAATAACAATATTAGAAAAAATATGGGTGAGTAATACAATGGCAATATAATGATATCCCATGCATGATGATGCGCCAAATAAAATCAAATCTTAAAGAATGGCTTTTAAAAAAAGTATGAAATTTCAGTTACAAAAAATCAGCATTGCACTTGTTGACCCCATACAGCGGAAGGCACATTCAATCATCCTTGTGACATCTGCTGAAATTGGAGTTTCCCTTCCCCTTTCGTGAATGTCAGGATATTGAGTGGATGTTGGGTCAAATTGGTGAGTGCAATGCAGGATTTTTCATAACCAAAATTCAATTATTTTTCCCATTTATTCTTTGAGATACTTCAAGACTGAAAAAAGCATTTTGTAGCTAAGTCTTTCTGCTTTCCATTACATGTAACTGGAAAAAATATCCTTAAAAAGCACCACACCTAAAATGCACATTGAAAAGAGAGCCCTTTTTTTGGGTGACACTGTACATACGCTGAAGGATATAAGTGGGATGGGAGGGAGAAGTGACAGAGCTAAAAATCATCCACTGTTCAAGATTATATCATCATTATAGATTATATCATAAATATCATAAGGAAGGCCAACGGAGTCCACTTTTTCATAAATATTATGAATTTGTGTGCCCTTCAAGATCGCATTGAGATAGTGCAGGTTTTTTTAAATTTACATCACTGTCCCCTCTCATTTTTCAAGAAACAGACCTTGCCCTAATGATGCATAACTGGAAAATCTCCATGTTTTTCCCTCTTTATCTTTCAACCTAAGCCTCCTTTCAATACTTCAATTTTCTCCACTCAAAAGAGTCCCTTTTGTTCTAAAACTTTAGATCTTAATTTCTCTTTAATCCAAAATTTTTCTCCATGGCAGGGGTCTCAACAGTTAACTGTGTGACCAGCAAACCAACCAATTATTAAAAGCTAGTAAATAAAAGTCCATTTCAATTAACCACTATAATATATCTCACTCCCATCTCCAAAAAGGAAAATGGAGGCATCTCCCAGGCATGTGATGCAGAAGTTCCTCTGACCACAATAGGAGAGAAGGAAGACAAATACGGAAGTATGTATTCCTTTGTTATACCATCTTATTTCTGACATTGATGTGACTTATCACTCCTCTACTGCCACCCAACATTCTACCGACTACTTATCATCCTTTCTATCACATATTGTATGATTGGCCCATTGAAGGCCTAGTTTTGTCAGTGCATTTGATTCCTTCACTGCTATTTTCCATATTTTCATCTCCAGATTTGTTACATACATTTTTTTCCTAATGAATCAACTCTTGCACACATTCAATATGGTAAAATCATGCAACAGTTCTGTCTGGTAATGATACTGTAATAATCTTAATGGAATTAATGTTACTTAACAATAATATTTCATTTGAATCTGAGTGAGAACATAACATAAATAAAATGGTAAGCCATTTGTTACACAGCCCTGATAAAGAGGTAAAAGAATGACACACCATGGAAGAAATAGCGGAAGGTGGAAGGGTCATAGAGCCAACAAGCTCCTCGCTGACCACACCGAGTCCCCCAGATGATGCAAGCAGAGTCAATGACAAGTCCATAAATGATGGGGCAAGGAACATTTCCAAAGAGTCCAATTGCAAACTGGATCAAACCCAGAGCCATCGCTTTGTCTTTGGGGTCCACACATCGAAGGGTGAGCAGCATGGAGCCAACATCAGAGGTTGAATGGACAAATGCAAATATCGAGAAGAGGATGATGTACCACTTGAGGGAGGTACATTCATGAGAAGTGCAAAATCCCTCCTTAGCCTTCTCTTCCAACTCCATGCAACTGCAGTTACCAAACTGAAAAATGCACCATTTTGCACTTTTAGCTATGAGCCTTTTTAGCTTTCTGTCTCTGCAATTACTTAAGAGACAGAATTTCTGCCACTTCCTTCAGTCTTCCATCTCCTCCTCCAAGTAATGGAGGAGAAAATAGAAGAATTATACAATGATCATGACAGAGGGAAGTGACTCACATGATGGCGAGAAGAGGCATTGTACATATATGATGTGCAGCCAGCATGACAAGGGGAGAAGTAAGTCTGATTATCACTCCCACACAGAGGTGAGAATGGCACATTCTCACAGTCGCACTCTCCATTGCATGATGTCATATTTATCTGCCTTTGAATGAGAATCCAAGTACCAATCACCAACAGTTTCATCTGTGTGCTACATTTTCCATTAAACAGTTCTGAAACCCCCCCTCCTCCCTTTCCCTTCTCATTTTTAATGTCTGCCTATATTGCATGGTCCCTTTAAGAAAGAAAGACATCTTTGATCTCTCTGTAAGCAACAGACTTGATGGCTCACTCCACCAGGGTTTATACCTACTCAAACACCCAAATAGTTGACAACAGCTGCTAGAGACACAACATCTAATGCAGGGGTGCACAACATATGGCCACGAAGTCCTTGCTCGCAGCCTGCCATGACTGGTGGCATTGTAAGTGCTACTATGGCTCCTGCCCTGTTGGCTACAGCTATGGTCAGCCAGACTGTGGCCAACGGTATGTGAGTAAAAGTCGCAAGTGGCCCTCACAGTCTTTTGAGTTGTACACCCTGGTCTAATGCAATGGTTAAGGTGAGTTTTCCATCTTTGTTTTCCTCAGAAAGTAAAAAAAAATTCTTAATTTCCTCAGACAGTAAAATACAATCTTAATTGCTTTATGACCTCAGTATTGTGCAGCTTTTTCAAGTAGATGCAGGTCACCCCATTTTCATGATAAAGCAGAGGTGCACACAGTAAAGCCAATGGGGCACAGGTAGCACAAATGTGAAAATGTTGAGTTCAGCTTTTTTCTTTGCAATCAAAGACTTTTCTTTACTTGATTACAAATGAGGAAGTCCTGTAACTTCTGCAGGTAAAAGTTTTTGCGTGCAATCAGTAGTGATCCACTATATCCCAAGTCTGTACACCCCTGGAGTAAAGGGAAGGAAGGTAGAAATATGAGTTACCTGGTGAGAGGAGAGAGGCCAACCATGGTCTTCATGGGGCAGCCAATGAACATGAGGACCCCCATCCCAAGGGAATAGATTAAAGCTGTCCATGCAATCCAGCCAGCAACAAACCGGGGACTTGGTTTTGTCTTGCGGATGTACCATCCACTCAAAAATATCCCTACTCCCATCACAAGAATCCCTCCAAAGGCTGCAAAACACAAAACATTCCTCTTATCTCCTTCCTGACAGAATAAATAAATAATAAATAAAATTAAAATAAAGAAACAGAATAGAGATTGGCAGGAATTGGCAATTGTGTGAAAACGTCAATAACCTAGGATTTCCTTGTGCAACTTGGCTCACACTTTGTGGTTAATGTGTTTAAGTTTGGGAAAGAAATTGCATCTTTTAAGTGTCTTCTGTGACTGAAGGAAGAATCAAAGGTATGCAACTACAAGCAATTTTCATATTATGTCCACTTTACATGATCACCTCCAAGCATATGCACTTAGACCTGCACCCCACCCACTTCTATTGTCCTTCAGCAAGTCAATCACCGGGAGCCAATACCCAGAGCAAAATGGGCCAAGTTGGTTCAATGCTTGGTATGAAGTGAAAATTTAATTGCAGGGAATAATCACAAATCATCTGGAGAAATGATTGACTAATGAGCCAAGATTTGTGGCTACCATTTGCCATGGATTGCCAAAACTTGGGAGTCTAAAGTTTTACACTGTACTCATCCATACAGCAGCCATCAAACAGCTAACAATTGTGATCTTGATTTAACCTTTATCATATGGATTTACACCTCCTGTGTAAGTGCTGACAGCTGGATTTTCCTATGCAACTTGTAAACACTCACCAGCCAAGTAGTGCAACTGTCCTAAAAATAAACTGTTGAAAGTGAAGCCATTATTGACATAGTACCAGAACATTTTTCCAAAAAGTTACTGTATAGCAATAGTACCTTTAGTCCATAGAAAAATACATTCTGCAGGACTGCATGTGTCCCTTTTGTCTGAGAGACATCAACATCAACCACATGGGTGAGCCCTTATTCCATTATTTTTCTGTTTCCTGTAGAGAAGATTCCCCTACTATGCAAGCACAATGCCAACTAAAGTATGCTGTTCAAACCCACTGGGTTGAAGTGACCCTTGTATCAAGAAGGTAAAATAAAATTTTTCAATTACTGCATACTGATGTTGGTAAATATCTGAGAACTTTGGGATGATTTTTCTAGAATGAACTTTGATGGCAAAATATCCTCATCATGAAAATCGTTGATCGCATGAACTCATGAGATCTGATCATACTTCTTAACACATTGACTGCAAAGCCCTTCTAAGGCTGGTGCTCCCACCAGAACAGAGGGATTGTCCCTGCATCTAGTGGACTTTGAACTTGGGAGTTTTAATATGTCATGATACTGTCTAAGAAAAAATGCTTGTGACCAAGAAATTATGTCAGCCACAATGGATTGACATTGTCTGACTGCATAATATTTCAGTTGTAGTCATGTAAACCACCAATAGGTGATGTGGCTATGAACTCAATCATTTTGTCTATTTCTATTATCAGTTGAATAAAAATCTCCAGTCATATTCTTCACCAAGAGGACATGACATATTCATTGCTTATTCCTTCATGAAAGTGGTGTCTTCAGAAATTGATGACTCTAATAACAGGACAACATTTGCACCACCTCTTGATCTTAGTGATAATAGAAGGATTGACAGAGGTTGTGATGTGACAAGTAGATGAAAACAGTCAACAAGTTGATGAAGCCAAATTGTTAATTGAGAAGAAAGTGATCATGGTGGGACTGGAGATTTGGGAACAAGCACCATGTGATCTATATTTCAAGGTTGCCAGAAAGTTTTCTCTTTCACAGACACCTATGACCCCAATAGCAAAAAACATTGAATCAACAGTGATTGAATGGTGACTCAACATCCAGATGTTGATTCAATGCTATGTGCTACTGGGAGGGGGGATTGATTGTTGATCATGATCACAGGAAGTTTTCAAGCCTGCTAACTTGAATGGGTCATGTGAAAATGCTCTCAATTGCTCAATTGATCATCAACCAGATTTATATTACTAGTTATGTCTTGGAACCAGTTAGAACTACTCCTTTGTATGGTGCATTTCCATGACAATAGAAATATTGAAAAGGGTGATTGCATTGCCAAGATTCAACTTCTACTTGATGCTCTGGGGGATAATTACCAAGAGACAATGAAACCTGGTCAGAAGATCATCATTACTGATCAACTTGTGAGCAGAAAAAAAGGTTCAGGAAACAAGTCCCAGAGATCAATGCAGAGATTCTCTCTCTTGTTGCCAATGAGATTGTGTTTAAGTGACTGGCATGTATTGAAAATGATGATACCTATATTCAAGTATATTACTATAAGATTTGAGGATAAAGACTCAAAGGTTTGGTATTGAAAAAATTCCAAAGTTCTCAGAGTTAATGTAACTTTTTGTTACTTAAATCAATCAGTTACTTCTAAATCACCCTGAAATTATAATCATTAAGAAGCTCCTTTGACATAAGCTTACTAACATTGATCTGTGAGAGGAACTGATAATGAGTTTATGCCAATATTGGTTCCAAACTGGTTTGAGCATAGCAAAGATGCATAAAACTCACCAAGGATGAGACTGGCATTATGTGAAGTCACATGGAACTGAGATTCCAGATACTTTGGCAGGAATGTGTAGAGGCCTGATATAGGAAGAAGGTGTAGGACATTGCTACCTGTCCGGAGAAGCAGCACACTGTTGCCCAAGAGTCGATGAACTGCTTTTGGGAACTCTGTGAAAAAAGAAATGCGCTTAAAATAAAATAAACATTGGAGATATGAATGAATATAGAGAACAGAAAAAAAGGCCTTGACTTTTAAAAAATATATCTCTGCTCTTACAGGAGCTATTTTCATAAAACCAGCAACTTAAACTGATATATTCTCAACAGACTTTCAACATTTCATGCCAATTTGTTGCATCAATGCAAGACAATGAGCAGCTATTCCAAAAAAGTCAAATATTGAAAATGGGCTTGAGTGGGTCTTTGAAGTTGGATGGGAAACACCTTAGCAGTACAAGTGCACATACAAGGGTAGTTTGACAATGAGTGAGAATCTCAAGTATGGGTTAAAGTGCGGCAAGGTGACTCCTATGACATCCTATTCTTACTGAGATTCTCACTAATTGTCAAACTACCCTAGTAAGGCATTCTAATTTGACTTGATTTCTTCCTAGATCTTTTAACAGGTTTGCATGAACTATTGTGCTTATTCACAAAAAATTAAATAAGCAATGTCAAGTCTTTGCCCTTTTAAAATCATCCTAGTGTTATTGACACTATACCAGGGTTCTGGCCAGGTCTCCATGACTGGGCTGCCTTCCCAGCTCCCAGTAATTCTAGACTTTCCAAAGCTGCTCAATTTAATGATTTATCACTTGGTTTGAAAATATAGCATGATTAAAAACAAATACCAATCCTGGATAATGCTATTTTTCCTCCTTGACACATCAACTGATATACAGAATAATTACTGATATTAATGCATGGTTATTCAAAGGTAGCAGTGGTTTATGCAAATCAGGTCAGGCAATTGTGTGTCAGCTTGCAAATTAACCAGCAGCAACAGAGAGAATGAGGCACTACAACCACGCATCTGCTTCTTCAGAAAGAGAGGGAGGAGAAATGAAAATCCAGGAAAGGGGCTATAAGATGTGGGACAGAGCAAGAAGATTTCCTATCCCTTGTGTGCAAGGGCCAGAAACCCTGGACATCACTCTGTTTCCTTCCCCTCAACAGCAAAAAAAAAAAAGAATTCCAATTGTAGGCAGAGAGTGTTACTGTAGATCTGGAGTGAGGTGTAAGGGTGCAAGTTTTTTGTTTCAAGGATGCAGATCAAGGCCTCCCCCCCCCCTCCCCCCCATCTACTCCCTTCATTCTTTCTCATTGATCTTTTGGAAAGAGGTGGGAAGGGACTATAATCTTGGAATAGAAGAAGGCAGAGACTCTTATTGGGAGCATTCTCTCCTTCACACTCAGCCAATACACCATGTTTCCAGATAAAATCATTAGTATAGGCACTTAAATGCATAGTGGCAACTTGAGGAAGCAGTTGTTTATTTAATTTGAATTCTTTCTATAATAAAAAAAAACTACTGTTACATACAGGACATCTTCCAGGTAATTTGAAAATTTTCAAAGCAAAGACACTAACAGTTTTTCACCTTCCAGACATTTCCTACCGAGTTCAGTATAATCAATATGAAGCATGAATTCATGCTACTCCTCAGTAGTGAAACATTCAAATTCATCAACCAGGAAAAAGAGAATCAACAGTTCTAGATATTATAGTGCTTCCATAGAAAATGCCTGAGCATTTTTTTCTTTCAAATTTCATTCAAGCTGTTCTAATTACAGAATTATGGAATTCTCACCACGAAGAGTAGGCTTAACAGCTGCAAGGCTGGAGGTACCAGCAGTTGTTTTAGAGAGTTTGAGCTGCCGTGGAAAGGCGAACATGCCCACAGATGCCATGGCCAACAATGTTGCTATCACAAATGGTCCTAACCACCAGGCACCTATCCATCGATAGTCTGTAGGGTCCACTGGTCCATCCATAAAGGGATAGACATACATTTTCACACACAGAGATCCAAGCAGAAAGCCAAACACCGGGCCAAGGATTCGAATCCCAATCGTAATACCTAGAAAAACATAAGAGATAATCATATATCATACCAACTCAAGATGTCATCTGGAGGGTGAAAAACATAACTCACCAAAGTATAATGGAGATTCCCGACTAGCAACATTATCATCAATGTACGGGATTCCAAGAGTGTAGACAGCAGTGGTACCAATACCTATCCCCATGAGACTGAGAAAGAAGATGAAGATCACATAGGGACGGAAACCAGTTTGAGGTCCTCCATCTTCCCCCTTGCATTCACTTGGAAGTTGTAGTAGGGAGGAATTCAGACTACACAAATGTGGATGAGTTGTCTCTTCCACGGGATAACTTTCCTCCAAAGTGGCAACAAGATGTGAGCCGAAGAGAAAGTGGGGTAGAGAACAGAGAAGAGAAGAAAAGGCAAACAGGAGTACGCCCCAGCCGATCCATCGTGGCCGATGACCTTGCCCTCCATAATAAGTCAAAAGGAGGCTTCCTCCAATAAGTCCAATTTCGGTTGCACTCATGATGATTCCTGTGGTCTGAGATGGGATCTGGAAGAGTTTCTCTATGGTTGTGAGGATACTGACAAAGTATGTCATGTGCATCCCTTGTAGTACCACAGCCAAGCAAAACACTGACAGGAAGGCTTCCTTGCAAGCAAGGAACTGGAGGGAGCCAAACGTGCAGCATGGTCCTAGGCCACATTTCTCATCCTCCATTACAGACTATCATGTCTGAAAATCAATGATTAACAGAATGGATGGTCAAAAGTTGTTGAAAACTGAGGTGCTAGAAATGAAAAATGTAAAAACTTTCTGGAAGTTCCTACCAAGTTCAAAAGGAATAATCTAGGTTTGAACACTTTGAACAAATGGTACATATGTTCATTTCATTCCCAAAAGACTTTAAAAGTAGGGGGAACTCAAAATGTTAACTTCCTTAGCATGTTTGAAAATGACAACATAGACATGCCAAGAAAAACCACGCAGGCCTGGGGAAAATATAAATCCTGATGTGACACTTCAAGATGATCATCTTCCAATCAATACATCCCAAAATTTAAATTGTTCTTGTAGCATAGCTTAAGGAAAGAAACTCTTTATTCCATTCATTTTGTGTCACCTTGCAAATTAACCAGCAGCAACAGAGAGAATGAGGCACTACAACCACGCATCTGCTTCTTCAGAAAGAGAGGGAGGAGAAATGAAAATCCAGGAAAGGGGCTATAAGATGTGGGACAGAGCAAGAANGGGGGGGTGGGGGGGGGGGGGGGGGGGGGGGATCCGACCTACAGGGAGCAAGTTTGACACTCCTATTTTAGCAGGGCAGACTTACCTCTCATGAATATAGATATTTTTATGGGAACGTGCCCACTAATCGTCTAGTTATAGCTTCATCGCTCCCCTCACACCTTTTTTTTGTCCAAGAGGGCATCCGTGATATTTTTTAAAGCTAGTCACAGGAGAGTCACCCATTATATTGTCACCTGATCCGTTCCCCGCACTTACTATTTACGTATTTTCAAAGTAAAGCTGTGATGCATCGTCAGCCTAGCTCAAAATAGACCCGAGAGCGTGTCAGGGGGCCGCGAACCAATGAATGGAATAGAGCTCGCGTGCAACATGAGTCAGCGGCCATCTTGAACAGAGTTGCAATGCGCTGCAGTGCAGTGAGACATTTCTCACCTCCCTCCCTTCGCCCTGAAGGGTACTGGTGTACGGGGTGGCTAAAAAAAAAAAACCAAAAAAACAACAAAAAAAAAACAAGCTATTGACTTCATCATTCTGCAAATCAGGCTGCAATGCCTTGATTTGAGTATTCTTTAAGGTACACACGAAGCAACTCTTTTGCAGCAGATATAAAATTATATGTTATGGCATCCCAATTTTTTTGCTTCTGGATGAAAATGGTCGTCTCCATCCAGAATATTGCTGCAATTGTCCAGTGCCTAAAAGCTTACTCCAATCAAGGCACTGCAGTCTGATTTGCAGCATGTTGAAATCAATAGCTTGGTTTTATTTTTAGCCACCCTGTATATATAGCAAGCTGTGCTTGGGACACAGGGTGGCCATAAAGTCTGGAAACATAGGATATATTAGGATAATGTTTTGGAATGGAAATGCCTATTTACCTAATCAGGTTCAACACTTCAAACGTCGCCTTCAAATCTGTAATGGTTCAACAGGAGAACATTTTGAACATTTATTTTAGTTTATTTGCACATCATCTTAATATATCATTAATGCGATCATATGTTTCCAGACTTTATGGCCACCCTGTAGAAAGCTGACATAGCACCACTGAGCTAAGTGCATAGGACCCAACTGCCTCAACTATCGTTCTAAATGTAAGTTATAGATGGAGCTAAAGGCGTATGCCTTTCGTTCCCAGTTCTTCATGACCTGATTTTCCTTGTTGTTGGATCCCACTTGGACTTAGACACTTCACACATCCACATTGTGAGGATTGGTCCCAAAGAATCGAAAGATCCTCATATCCTAAGTCTTACAGAACTTCTGTTGTGATGGCAACCAAAAGAGAAAAAAACATGCACGACGTGTTCGGCTCGAAAGTCCCACTTTCGATCAAAATCGAAAATCAGGACTGATAATTGATATTCTGGGGTGACACATGATAAGTTGACAACCAGGGTCAGGGGATCCGATGTCTCTGCATGCGTTGTATCTCGTCGTGCTACATCCAGGCCTTTCGGTCGACTTGTCGCCGAATAATCGTATCTCCGACACATCAGGGAAGACCAGAAGCGGAACCCATGGGCCACATGCAATGGACTTTTGACCACTGCGTAAAAAGACTTGAATTGGAGGGGGGGTTGGTGGTTCGCCCGCAGCAATCACAATCAGAAAAGGAATTCTAAGGGTTAAGGACCGGAGTGTGGTTGCTGTGCGGAAACTGCTGGCTGTTGATATGTTTCCTTCAATATCAGGTGGGACACTCATCCCCTCTCTATACGCCTTCGGAGGGGATTAGAAACCTCCAAACCCCCACCCCATTTGTTTCACCACTAGATTTGCCACTTTGAACGTCCTGACACTAGGGGGTAAGAATCGGAACTCCCGGCAGGGACCAGCAAGCGACAACTAGATACATATCGGCCCGGCATCGACCGAGAGGAAGGATATCGGTTCCATCGCCCTAGATCACGAGTGGGCTCTCTACCTGAACGGAATCGATACAGCCACGTTAGTCCGATGATACTCCTTAGATCCCTGACAGCGTGATGGAATGGAAACCGATCAGCTTCGGTCTAGAGCGAGCCCTGGTCTTCGCTCAGGGGCGTAACAGCAAGTCGGACTACCGTGCGTTTCTTGGAGAGGTGGATCCTGTCCTAAAGGGGATCCAGAACTGCTATTTCGCTTTGCCGATGGAGGATTTCGATGCGCGAATCGGGAAAGACGATAAAGTCAACAAAAGATCGAATCGAGGCCGCAAGCATATAGAAGTTTCAATTCCGTCATGTTAGATATGTCGAGTCGATGCTGCCGGGTTAAATCAACATTGGCTCAAATTCGATATGAGACACGATTCAATACTCAAATGCTATGACATTTTCATGACGAATTTTCATGTTGTGCTCCAGTTGAATACTCAACGCCCTGTAAATGCCACATCGATACGATGTCCATAAATCGATCCATTTCTAAATTGAACCATAAATGAGATCGATCCCGGTGTTGCTACTGTCGGAATTTTCCGCCAGTGGAGTTCCCCAGTTCAATCCTCATTCCGTCCTCAAATTTCTCCTGTCTCGTTGAGCTTTAAAAACTGTTTCTTCATCTAGGGTATATAGAGGTATATTTCAATGTCTTCCCTCGTGCTATCTACGGAGAAAGGATCAAATGAGAAGTACCGAGGGCATATTCCACTTGCACGAAAGAGAAATTTGTAAATTTTTAACACCACCTTGCTTCGGTTGCGGGAACTTTGTTTCATGGAATAGCTCCCAGATGGCTTGCCCCCTTCCCCCTTCAGTCGACAGAAACAACGACAGGACTGAACATGAAATTGAATTCGACCATAGGCCCTTCCTTTTCGGAGGTAGCAAGTCAAACCGATAGTTACTTACATTGTTACAAGTTACCTCGTTTCCATCTTTTTTTTTTCGTTCTTCAAGACGCGCAACTCCTCCCGGAGGGACGAGAAATACAGGGTGTCCCAACGAATCCTAACGATTTCATTTTTGAATAACTTATTAAATTCTGCACTGATTCTGATCGCGTTTGCATCTTTTTGTAGCGTTTCAAGAGAATTTTTTGACACCTATTTGGGTGCAAAGGGTCGAGAATAAATGAAGTTACGGCAATCCTCGCAGATATCACTCTTCGCGCCACTGTACTCATTTTCCAGCCGCCTAATTGCGTGTGCCGTCTCTCTGAGTTAATGGGTATGGAATGCATTTTGAAAAGTCAACAACGGATATTCCGGGAGGAATTTCGCGATGGGAGATACCGAAGTCGATCGGCAATGATCGATCGGGAACGTTTTTTAATAGCGAATTTTCACGTGCATGGTGGCGCGAATTGACACGATTTGGCACGCCAAAACTTCATTCTTCGAGAGTCACATCATGGGCCTCATCTGAATCCGTTGAATGAGTTCTGGCCTCGGTGTACAAGGCCCATTCAAGGCTTTGCCGATCTTGGAAAGGTGCGCTACTAATTGTTTTTTTTTTAACCGTGATATTATCATTCCGATAAATAGTATTTGTTGCGGAGTGTCCCCTACTTTTCGATGAAAAAGAGTACCTCACGGAAACCGTCGCAACTCATTTCTTATTTATCCGTTTAAGTTCAACGAGATGTCAGTTAAATTCTCTCAAAACGATCTACAAAGGATATGTGCGCGATCGGTATCGGTGCAGAATTAAAAAAGTTATTGAGAAATGAAATCGTTACGATTCGTTGGGACACCCTGAACATGTTCACCTGACGCGTTCCATCCATCCACTACACGACCGATGCAGTGGGATTCGAAGTTCGCTTGAGGCGCACTTAAGCCGGATCTCCCTCGTTCTATCGTTGGGAGAACCCAAGACGCATGGATGCCCCTCGAGTGTGCATGCTTGAATGGGATCTCATGCCCTCCGAGTCTGCATGGGACCTCATGCTTCCTTTTATCATTTTAATAGCTCGCCTCTGAACCCTCTCCGGGTCATTTAATCCGCTTTAATTTGCAGGTCTCCAAAATTGAATGCAATGCTCAAAACGGGGTCTTATCAACGCCGAGCACAATGGAAGAGCAACGAGCTAGCTTTTATTGACAATGGGAATCCCGGATTGTGCCTCGAACCCCGTTCGCTTGCGCTTCAAACGACTTAAGCTCCTAATCTCAGATGATCCATAAATCTCTCTCCCCTTTCGCGCCCTCCATTTTCGTTATTCTCGTCAAACGCATTTAGGAGGCTCATCATTATGAACAGAGAGGAGAATATTACATTTACACTTATGGACTCTTCTTTTTTATTACTCCGTACAGCCATTATTTACTCGACCCGCTCAAAAACTGTGACTCTCTTGAATCTTGCCCTTTCCTCCTTCGCGACAGAGCAGCTTCTATTTGTGCCGTCAGAAAATTTACTATATTTTACCCCCACCTACCCCCCCCCCCCCCCCCCCCCCGGCCTAGTTCGATGTTAAGGAGAAACGGAATCGGCAGACTCGTCTCGATGGACTCCACTCGCGACGCCAACTTCTCGAGACAATACAATTCGCGGAATCCGGACCGGAACGGGGACGCGACCGCGTACGGATGCGGGCGGGGCTCAAAGTCCCTGTATAAGATTGAGAAATTTCCGGTCTGCTCGGAGGAGAGAGATGGCGATGTGACAGCTACCTCGGCTTCGATTTGCTCGTATGATTCAAGGTTTTATCTGGGCTTCTGATGAGGAAACGGAATAAGTGAAAATGCCCTGAGAATCTCTGATCACATCGAAATGGCAGGAGAGAATGCATACGAAAATCCAACGTGTCGATTGCAACGATCAGTTGCATATTGTGATTGTTGAAAAAATTTTCTTGCCTCGTGACAAAAAATTATCGAGGGCGGCGCTTTGCGACTTCTACACGAAGGTTCTCGAAGTTCTCATAAAATTCCTCCAAGGGGCCCGAGCACATTTAAGGACCTTCGGGGGAACATCGGATTTCGCTGCACGAGCTTGAAGAAGGCTGCCATTGTTTCCTTGCTTACGCCAGCCCTGAGCAGGGTCGCCCAGAAGTTTCCACAGGCCCAGGGCGAACCTAAACCGGAATCCCCTTGGGACCCTTGATGCGCGAGGCCCGAGGCAGCTTGTCTCCGATACCCCCCCCTCTCCTCCGGGCGGCCCTGGCCTTGAGTCTCTTCTCTCTTTGGAGCGCGAAGATGATTCAAGCCGTCCAAAGACGTTCGGCCTCGTTGCACCAATCCGTTATAAAATTGGGACTTCGTGGGTTCTTCGTTTTTGTTAACGCCGTTGTCGTTCGAAAGCAAGAGTAAATAATTCTAAAAAGTTATTTTTTTTTTAAAGGAATCTTTGACCCTATAGACGACAAATTGCTAATTTTCATGACTTCTGAACTCTGAGCTACGCTTTTCTCTTCAAATCAGTGATGAAATGCAAGTTTCATTTAATTTAAGTTAATTAAGCGGGACACATCCCAATCTTCTCCCTCGATTCGCCACGACTCCGAACCGTCGGAAAGCAAACAACCATCACGACAGGCAGAAATAAAGACAAAAATGAAGACTGAGTCGTCTGGCGCCGACGAATGACGAGAACAAATGGGCGGGGCTCATCTCCGGAATCCGAGATTAGTCTCTCCGCCTCATTTTCAATTACTCTCTGCTTTCTTCTTGACAACCGGCTCCTTTTCCAGTTAATCACCCTTCTTTGAAGCCCATGTGGCTCAATTTAGCCCCATAATCCCCCATAATATCGAACGCAATAGAAAGTCTTCGCTAAGCCTTAGGCTCCATTCTTCCGCTTTTTGTTGCTAAGGGACTTTTAGGTACGTAGAATACAGGGCTAGTCAAAATGATTGCAGCGGTTTCAGAAAAAACCGCTGCAATCATTTTGACTAGCCCTGTATTTTGTCTTTCGTTTTTATTATTTTTACTTTTTTTTTAGGTTACGAGAATTTTTTCAGTCCCTGAAAGAATCAAGCGGAATGATCATTCCGCTTGATTTAGGGCTCGAGCCCTGAATCAAGCGTCATTTCTTACGGCTTACCAAAGCCTAGCCTTGGTTTTTGTCCCAAACCTGCTTTTTTTTCTCGGGAAGTGGGATAAGTATGACAAACGAGGCCTTTTCTGCTCTTTGCGGATTAAATGTGATTTTTTTTTTTTGGGGGGGGGGGCTGGAAAAAATTCAAGGTTACCCTTGGATTAGAGGTCTCGGGCCGAAATATACGACAGGGTTCCCTTTGGAATCCCCAACCCAATAGAGAATTTGTAAGGGATTTTGCAAACAAAAGAGTGCAGCCTCCTCGCAGTCGTGCCGAGATTGCCAAGAGAGCGAGTTTCCCTTCGGATATCGCGGGACGCGGTCCCTTAGGATGCTTTCCATCATCTCTCCCTTGGGACCACCCGATACAAAACGTCCCTCTCGAATATGATTCGCGAATCGCACCGCCGACTTGAGACCGGTTGCTTGTGGCTTCCTGGTCCTATTCCCAGTTTCTTGTGTAATACCTCAGAGATCATCGGAACCATGCGCGAAGGCAGAAAGAAATGATTTAATATCCTGGCATCTCTGTTGATCGTGACTTTTCTTTGGATGCTTGATCCAACGTCGGCTTCTGCCAAATATCCTATAAAGTCGTTCCTCGACCTCCCGTTTCGGTGACCTAATTCCAGTTCCAATGACCCCATTTCACTTGCGCCTTAACGAATCTCATGGTTACTTGCACTTTTTTGAAGACTTCATTTTTCGATTAAACAAGATCAGTTGACTAAGGAAAGGCTTCTCAGGGATACACATCTTAATACCAAACGAAACGTGTGGACTAGCTCCAATTGTTACCATGCTGAGCTGGAAAATTTATCTTTCGATCGAGACCTCAAATTAATCCCATTTAGTCCTCTGGAACTCGTTTTTCTATTGTCACAAAAATCTTTCGTCGGCCCATTGTTGAGTCTCGCCCGTTTGGTATCCCAAGTGACCGCAACGATCAGAGCTCCCTAATGAGCGCTGAACGTCAATCGCCATCAGTCGCGAAAGTGAACGCCGGTATTTTTGTCCGTTTCCTCTCTATACTGCAGGAATCGCATAAAAAAAAACTTCACCGACTCTCAGAAAAGTAAAAGCTTCTGGAACTTCTAAATTGTATTCATTAACTCTTGAAGAGCAGCGCCATCCTCTCGAGATGAATCTAGCGAGCATTAAGATTCTCAAGAAAATCCTCCCAGTCGTACCGCCGATCTCGCATCTTCAAAGTCCGACCGACTTAAACTCAAGCGAGACTCCCTTATGCAAACACGCCACCCGTTTCTAGCATGAAAATGCCACCCCATAATTCCGGACCTATCTTGACGCGTGCGGGAGCTCTGAATTTCTAACTCCTTATCTATGATCTCAGAGCTCCCCCGAGCCTCAATTACTCCGATGGCATCGCAACCCATTTCCTGTACCCAGCTCCGCAGCACATCCGGTTTCCGGTTTATTATATAATTTCTGCGCATTCGTGTAGAAACATATAAGATTACGGTTCCGTCTCCTGTCTCCATTCGAGTACGAAGAGGTACCATATTATTCGTAGCGAGTACCCCGTCCCCATGAGTATTAGCCTTGTGATCGGGAATGTTTAAAATGATGCCATCTCCCTCGGAATGACTGCTCCCTGACGCAGCGTCCAGCGTTGGGCTCAGCGGCGTATTTTGGATGACGAGTCAGGGGGGAAAGGGTAGCAGAGCGGGGGTGCCAAACCCCACCCAAGCGACATCAAAGAAAAAAATTTTTGCCAAGGGGGCTCCAAGCTCTGTCCCGGGGGGGCCAGAGGGGGGGGGGGGGGGGGGGGGGA